TTATTCCATATTAAATTGCCTGCAGAGTACACCGTGGTGTGCGTGCTCCAGATGTGTCTAACCTGTCAATACTGATACACTCACAAAGCACGGCCTCTCCTTATACTCAAAGCCACAGCTGGACATATGTGAAAGTAGTGCCCACTTCTTTAATAGTTCTGGGGAGAGAACTGTTAATCAGTTCCCAGCATAGTGGGTTTAACCCTTAAACTCTAGATAATATTTGGGGGAAGATGCTTCGCTCCTCGTACAGATTGTGCCATTTGATGCCAAAGCATCTATGAAGAGGTAAGATACAAGGGTGCAATCCTGGTGCAGCTTTTAGAGCAGTCACGGAGAGTAAATTGGAGCTGTGGGTACCAGCTGTTTCTTACAGGGCTGTTTTTCATTTAATGCAGTGACTTCACTACAAAATATGTAAACTTGTACAGGCACAAGTATGCTTCTGGAGACTAAGTGCATTAAAAAAAAAAAATCCCCTGGGGAGTCTGAACCTTTAGATACAACAGAGAAGGATTTAAAAGCTTTTTAGGTTACTTCACAGCTTCTTTATAAAAGGAGCAAATTGAAGAGAAGGTAAATGGCTGGTACCAGTACAACCCATCTGTGAGTGTGTCACATGCTTCCCCCTGGGCCTGAGCGACCAGACTGGTTTTGCTACTTTCCTTGTAGTGTTTCTGCTTCTTGTTTCAGAGGTTCCTGGTTCAGCTCCTATATTCTTTCGAAATAGTATCCTCCAGAAACAGCAGCTGAGGCAGCTGTTGTCCTTAGGTTTTGAAGCCAGTGACTGGCCTTCTAGCTGATTTAAAAGGCATGAATCATTTTAAAACAGAGTCTGCTGGTGCTTTGGACTGAAAGTCTGGGGTAATTTGAACTTTTGTTGGTGCTCTCTGCCCCCATCTGGGGTTACGTACCTTGCTGTGAGAAAAAGACATCAAATTTGCTGGGAAGCACAGGTAAGAAACAGCTGCTGCCTCTCCAGAAGAACAATTTTGATGGAGTGCAGTAAGAATACAGCACTGAAATTTGGGAGTAAATGAAGCTGAGATGGGGGTTTTTTCCAGAAAATTTGAGAATTGGAATTTTCTGCTGTCATCTGGTCAGGCAGACAAGGTAAAACTAACATGACCAAACTCAAGATGCCTGTTTAGTCACAGAGATCCTTTATGTAGGCTGTGCAGGAGCATTGTCAGCCACATTGCCAGTCTACAGCAAGCTACAGTGGGCCTTGCAGACCTAATTTATTTTAAGTAGTTCCATGAATGTATAATCCAGAGAAGCATCATGCCTATCTTTAAGTTAGATTTTTTTGCTATATGGGGACATAACAATCTGACAGTTTCCTTGTGTATAAGGTGTTTGCAGCTTCTCTTAACCTATATAGATGCCAGTGGGTTTAGTAGCCAATGAGTTTACCACCCTCTGGACATCTAGGAATGTGTCTTAATCATCTGTTTTTACAAGAAATTTTTAGAAATGTAATGTATTTGAAAAAACTTGCACTTCTTGTCAGGGTTTGAATGGAGTTTCAAAGTTGAAAGAGGCATAATTGTCTTAGAGAACAGGCTACAGAGAGCATATTGGGGCTTCGATTAGTTTGATGCATTTAGCTAGTCTGCAGCCTTATTAGTATTGAGTTTAATGCTACCTGAGGCTAAGAGGTCTTTGAAGGTTGTTAGGGGCTGATCAGAGGCCACCTGTCCACAGGAAGAAGATGCTTTGTTAACAGCAATGGAACTGTGTGCTCAACCCTGCTAGCCCTAACCACCATACATCCCTTCCCTGAAATTGCTGGGAACATAGCTGTTCTGTTATGAATGTTTCCCTGTGCTGGGATCTCAAGTGGCAGGAGAAGGGAATGCCTCCTTTGCATCCCTGACTCCCTAGAGCTACCAGGAAGAGCAGCAATAGCTCTGAAGCAAAGCAGGACTCTTTCTGTATGGCAGGAGGTTCCTGAGTGCAATTCCACATCAACAGGGAGGTTTTGCTGAAAAAATAATTCATATTTCGTGCAAAAAAATCAGATTCTGGTTCTCTTTTCCCAGTCCCTTTCCTTGTCTCAATTGCCCTTTTGATAATAGCAAAGTGGCAACTTTTTGTCCACCTTGGTTTGTTGCCATTTACAGCCTGGAACAAGCAACAGCTTGGACATTCTTGCTATATTTTCCCTAGATTCTGACATGCTCTTTGACGAGGATGGGGATCCTCTGAATGCCTTGGTCCGTGCCATGGCTGAAGCAGCTGGAAGGTCCAAAGCATGAAGCCACCGGGAACAGTGGCCTTTAAGTGCTGACAAAGCCAAGCACAGCAGTCTGGGCTCTGTCCACCCCACTGTAGACAATGCTGTTTTGATCAAGGAAAGCTACATCTTTCAGCCAGGAAACGGTCCTGGGACAGAAGTGCCCAATCCCCCATTCTCAACATGTTTATGTTACAAATAGGAACTTAAAGGGAATGGAGGTCTGTGTCCCCCCCACTAAAAAGAAGTATTTAAGGTTACTGCTGAAGCACTGGATTTGGAGAGAAAGGTCTCTGTCTAGACTTCGGGGAGTGTGTGAGAGTGGCTGTGGGGACACAGCAGTAATATTTCCTTGCTTTGGGAGAAGGGTTACCTGGCAGGTATTGCCAGCAAAGAAGGTGGGATTGCCCTGTCAGTCTGACTGATGGATTCTCCTGGCTGACACCCACAAATTGGGGGCATCAGCAGCATTGGGTCTTGAAATATGAAGTGCTGGAGTATGGCCAAGCTGTTCCTCTTCTGTAGGGAGTTACAATGAACAATTGCTGCTCTTCTGTCTTGTTGAAAAGAGGTTACATGATGTCAGTGCTGGGATGGCTGGGTTGGTGATGAGCTGAAGTGCTGTCTGCACAGCAGAATGGAAAGGCTGGGAGGGGGAGCACGGCTTTTGTCTGTTTTGGGATAGTCAAAGAAAATTAACTTTGAAGCACTGTATGCATATCTGATGATTTTTTTTTTTTTCCCCAATAGTCTTCCTCCTTTTGCCCAAACCTGTGATGGCTCATCCTTGCTTGCTTTCTTGTCATTGCAGCTGCTGCATTTCAAACCAGGTGCACCTGTCTGTAGGAAGGAGGGTGCCCTCTCCTCAGAGCTGTTGCCTTGTGGTGGGTAACCCCAGCCAGCAGAGAAGTACCCTTACAGCCATTCCCTCCCCCTACCCCAGTGGGACATGGGAGAGAATTAGAAAATCAGAAATGAGTAAACTTGAGGGTTGAGGTAAGAGCAGTTTAGTGAGTGAAACAAAGAAGGAAAAAATGCAAGTGGTGCAAAGGCTACTCACCATCTCCCCTAAGCAGGACTGTTGCTCACCCTGTCCCTTAGCAGTAGCTACCCTGGAAGGCAAAACCCCTACCCCCTCATTCTTCTTCCCAGCTTCTAGTGTTGAGCAAGTCATTCTATCAGACAGAATTGGCCATTTTGGATCAGCTGTCCCACTCACACCCCCTCCCAACCTCTCACCCACCTCCAGCCTGCCTGCTAGGGGACAGCATGGGAGATGGGCAGTCTAGAGGCTGTGCAAGCACTGTTCAACTGCAGCAAGAACATTGATGTTCTGCCTACACTCATTTAGTCACAAATCTTAAGTCATGGCATCATAGGTGTTGTTATGGAGAAAGTTAACTCTATCCCAGTCCTTAACCATACAACACAACATAATGGAAAATATTTTTATTATTATTATTTTTTTTCTTAGAGAATTCAGAAGATAGAGATCATAGACTTGGTTGTGAGCCTACAAGGCACAGAAAACTGCTAGACTGAGTCAGCCTGCAGCAATGGACACAACTTACAAAGGTCTAGGGAGGGATGAACTTCATTTTCAGCACTTTTTAAATTCTTCCTTATTCAGCAGCTCTGAATTCCCAGTTGTTGTAAATTCTGGGAAATGATGGAAATTATCAACATGCTTCAAATGTTGCCAAATTCAGTGCACTTTTTTGGTAGGATGCAAAATAGAAGTATTCTTCTAGGAATAGGTGTTTTCCAACTGTGCAAAAGAGTCTGTGTTTGACTCAGAATGGGATTATTCCGTATTTGGAATAAAGGGTCTTCTACCAAGGAAACACACCAGTTTAAACCAATTAAGCTGGCAAGGATGCTAAGAGCAAGCCTTGGGAAAGCTGAGGGTTTGGAGCATGTTTTAGGCTAGCACATATTTGTGCATGCAGAGAAGTGACTAATATGTTTGTTCCGTTTGACTCCCTCAGCAAAGAGCTATCTCCCTGGAAGCGTTCCTGGAAGGAGCTGGATAGTGCTGGGCTGCCTATCCTAGACACCAGTCCATCACACAATGAGGGCTTTAAGTGAAAGATTAGGAAATAGAGTTAAGAAAGAAGCGAAGTGTAAAGAATAGTGTTGCCATGGTCCATGCTTTGAAAATTTCTTGTAAGCTTTAGATGACAGCTAAAGCACCCAGGCTTCTCTGACTGCTGTGGTTGGTGGAAACCATTTCATCTCTCTTTATCCTGATTCTTCAATTCCAGAAGTCGTGGAGCCAGCCTGCCTCACCTGTCCCTTCCCAGTCCTCTACATTCGTCAAGCACCAGAAGTGCTTTCCCCTGCCAAGCTCCTCCTGAAGGCCCTGACAGCCGAAATCTCCCTCCTAGGCTTAGATCTCCATGAGTGCTTTTCTACAATAATGGCTGACGTTGCTGTAGTACAAAAGTTGGTTGTATTTTGGGGTTCTTAACATACATGATGCCACCAACAACCCCCCCTTGACAGATACCTAGTGTCTGATGTATTTTGATACTTGGACTAATGCACATACATTCCAGTTTGAATTGGGGGTAGAGGGAACTTCACAGTAGGAAAATATGTCAGGAGATTGTGTTGGATGCTGTCTGATACTAACTTCATTTTAAATAGCTTAGCTTGTTGTTTTGAGCTCAGCTGAAAGCTTGACGCTAAGTGGAATGAACAAAAAGGGGAATATTCACCAAAGATAACCTTCAGGTTATCGTGCCTGGGAGGGGTCGGGGCCACTCAGGTTAGATGCTCTGCCTCTCAGCAATTACTTCTGAAGTCAGGTTCATGCCTTGAACCCATTCCCTGGAGAATGTTTTCACAAGCTTTGTAGGTAGGCGAGTTCCTCTGCACTTAATTTAGCTTTTGTGAATATCTGTCCTTGACCCAACAGGAGCTGTAGAAGTGCCAGGTCATACAGGCTGGGTGCAGTAGGTATGGAAACAACAGAGAAGGCAACAAGGCAACACTTCAATTGAGAGGAATTTTTTTTCTTTTCTCCCAAGAATAATTGGATTTATTTGTTGATAAAAATCTGAATGAGCAGGCACATCATAAGTATACTGGCTTATGTATTCTATATGCCAAAGTAGATGATATAATGTAATTTTGCAATTGATTGTAGGAAAGCAAATGAAAGTGTCCTTTACAAAGAAATCTGTAGTAATACAGTTGGAATTAAACTTACTGCTACAAACTCTACTGAATAATGGCAACCTGCTTATTTTATCAAAAAAAGCTTTATTTCTATAACACTTTATATATAGTGTACTACTAAGGAATGGTAGTTAAAGTCACATTGCTTTCATCAAAGTCTGGCAGTTCCTTTACTCTTGCTGTTTGACACGAATAGAAAGAAAGCGGGGTCATTCTGACCGAGGGAGGACTCACTTTTGCCCAGTGCAGCCCTGCAGGCACCAGCTATAGTAAGGTAAATGACATTAGTAATCGTCGTAGTTGACGCCTGCTCCGTGCCTGAAGCTGTGTGGATTTCGTGGGCCAATTGGAGAATCTTCATCGTAGTGGTGCTGGTAGTACCCACCGTAATATTCATTACGAGCACGCCCTAAGTTTGTCCAGTAGGAGATGTCATCTTCAAATTTCTGCCAAAAATGAAAAGAAAATAAAAAGGGGGGGACATTTGCTTTCCAACCTGAAACTTTACAATGATGAGATGAAACAGAAGTGGTGCAAGAGCCGCTTTCAGAAATTTGGATCCTCGCACGTTTTTCATAAATTAAATCTTTAGATCTAAGAGGTTTCGAGACGTTTTGCCTTCTCTATGGGATTATCAGGATCCCGAGTGCAGGAATTGTCCTGCCCAACCCCACCTGCCACCCACCCCTACACCCTCTGCCCACTCTGAAGTGCTGCCACATGGGCATGCCTTCAACTGAGACGTGCACTAAGCATCTTTAATATCTCTATTACCTTGTCATTGGTGGAGTGTAAAACCATTTTAATGTTTTGCACTTAAAAATCTAAAGGTTTAGTTGTCTGTTGTCCCATGCCTTTAGTTGTTATGTCCATGACTGGGGTGCAACAAGCTTTTGCTTTCTGTCTGTGATCTCTCACGCCCACCCTGCATGGGTAAAAATGAAGGTACAGTGCAGCCTTCTAGCTATGGAAATTCAATAAGCAGTCCAATTCTGCGCAAAACAGCAGAGGAAAAACAGTGTGTGAGGATCTCAAATACTTGCCAAGCCAAAGCCTTTCCATCTGAATGACTCTTTGGAAATATTTTTTGGCTGAGATTTGAAAAATAAAAAAGAAAGTTTTGCAAAATACACAATGGATAAGTATGACTTAAGTCCTTTGCTGGAACAAACAGTTATTTCATTGTTAAAACTGTGTCTTAATACTCAAGAAAACCTACTAAGTGGATTCATTGTATCCCTCAACAGGCCTCATTTCAGTTTTTGAAATACACACAGGAACTCTGAGGAGAATTCACTTTTTCTGCATGGCTTGTCTTTATTACTTTTGGTATTTGCCCCCAGTCTTAAGTTTCTGATGTATAAAACACTTTTCCTAATTTTTTTCTATTCCTATTGATGGAGGGGGATATAGCCATGCTGTTAAAAAGTGACTTCTATCCACATAATGTCCAGGAGAATTAAAAAAAATACCCTTCATTATTTCAGCTCAAGCAAAGGATTATTTTTCTGATTGTTACAGCTTTGCAAATGAGTGCATTCATCTTCTAAGCAATCCACATAGCATGAAGGTCTAAAATGTACTCTAGCTTGCCTGTTCCAATGCAATCTCATGCAGCTGACAGAAGCCAAGAATTCAACATCTATAACTATTTTTATCCCTTATTAAAAGTAGAAATGATGCTACATGTGGGACTGCAACCAAAGGCACTTTTTTTTGCCCTATTTCAGCATCTATTTAGTAGAGCTCTGTGCAGAGCTTGATTACACTCCAGTGTTTTTACAAATTAACTGTTTTTAAAAAATGTATCCTCTTTTGAAGGGAGGTTGGTTGAATATTATCAAATGGTTTTCCTTTCGTAATTAGAGTCAGTGCACAGCTGCTGGTGTAGGTGGTGGTCAGGAGCTGCCCACACCATGGAGGCACATGTGTGCATTCGGTACGTGATGTCAGTGTGATTTCATCGAGGAATGGCAATCGTAAGCAGTGTGGTGTGGATTTCTGAGTGTGTTTAAAAGCAAGCTGATTAGGTTGAGGCTGACAAATTAATTTCCTGAAACACGATTGATTGCTTTGAGTCTGGCCATTTATTTCTCAAAGCAGACTTTGTTCATGCGTCCAATTGCAATTTATTAAGCTTACCTCCGATAGCAGGCAGGAACTCTACACAAAATCTTTTTCTGCTAATAACATTTTGCAGAAATCTTTAACAAGTAAGGAGCTAATATTTCTGTGTGACATTTGGTACTTCAAAAGAAGAAATCTCAGTCTCTGTGTACAGAAGCAGGGCAGCTTCTCCCTGGGTGCCCCTATGGCTGGGCATCCTCACTTGCCTCACTGACCACACAGAAAGGCTTGACTTGGGAGGCACATTAAAGATCACCTAGTTCCAACCCCCGTGCTGTGGACAGGGACACCTTCTACTACACCAGATTGCTCAAAGTTCCATCCAACCTGGCCTTAAACACTTAGAAGGATAGGGCAGCTACCACTTCTCTGGGCAACCTGCTCTCATGCCTCAGCACAAGTAACAAAATAATTGTGAGTAAATAATTTCTTCCAAATATCTAATCTAAATCTCTTCTTTTTTAGTTTAAAACCATTCCTCCTCGTCCTATCACTATCTGTTCTCCCTCTTTTTTATAAGCTCCCTGTAAGTGCTGAAAGAGCGCAATAAGGTTTCCCCAGAGCCTTCTTTTCTCCATGCTGCTCACCATTCCATATACTCACCGCCTCATCGAATCCCAGGTACAGGAACTGCTGGTACCACTGCTGTACATCAGGCTGGCTTCTGTCCCACAGCTGGCGCCTCTGGCGTCTCAGGCTGCTCAGGAACTCCTTGGCTGCCGTTTCCTTCACTGACACCTCAGGCTTTGCAGCAACAGGGGCTGAAATTAATTCCCCCCACAAAAGGCATGCCAGGAAATTTTTTGTCAGCCTGAAGTGTACTGCTTGCAGCAAGTAAGAAAATGCTTCTCACATCATGCCATCACCTTTGTGCTTGCCAGTGCTATGACTGTAGCAGAGTACAGTAATAAACCCAGGAATCACTGATGTAATAGGATTTCTCAGCTACCCTCATTCCCCTGGATTTTCAAAAAGCTGTTTGGAGCTCAAAGACAGCAGCTTAGTGAGGAATTTAAATGTATACACCCAAAGAGAATATACACAATGTGTTTGTGTTTGAGGAGAGAACAGAAGAACTGCTGCAGTTGCAGAAATTGGAAAGGAGATGACAGGTGAAGTTAAAAAACCTGAGGAAGCTGGAGAAACACTGCTAACTTTTCAGGGTGAAGAGAGGCACACATGAAAAGATTTTTAAAATCTGTTGTGTAAGAAAGTAGCTTTGAAATAATGAGTACTACTAAATGCCCTGTGTGCCTGAAAATAAAAGCCCATTAGGCTTTCATAGCACACTGCGTGGTAGGTGCATGGGAATGTCCTCAACTAGGGAGACCCAGATGCGCCTGTCTGGCTTGTTCCATATCTAAGAGTCAGGTGGTTTGCTGTGGCTGCTAGAGGAATTTATGTACCCCCAAAAGGTATGGATGTGAGGACTACAACAGGACAAGAAGAAATGGCCTCAAGTAATGCAGGGTTTATACAGGATGTTAGGAAAAATTCCTCCACTGAAAGGAAGGTCAGGCATTGGACCAAGATGCCCAGGGAAGTGGTGGAATCACCATCCCTGGAAGTGTTCAAAAAACATGTAGATGTAGCACTTGGGGACACGGTTTAGTAGTGAACATGGCTGTGCTGGGTAAATAGTTGGACTCGGTCTTACAGATCTTTTCCAGCCTTTGCAATTCTATGGTTCTATGACAGGCCAGCCCCCAGCCACACACAGAAATGATAAAACCTGGTATTGATCTGCCTGTGAGACAAGACACAGTTGGAGGAGTAGGAGAAATGTCTTGGCTTCAGAGTGTTCATTGGAATGAGGGGGAAATCAGGAACATGGGTGTGGATGGGGATTTTTGGGGATTGCAAGGGAAGAGACTGGGGCAGACAGGGAGGGAAGTCAAGTGGAAATGTGAAAACCTTTGAAGTAGGAGCTGGTCAGACTCTCAGGGAGAAAAAGGACTGCAGTGAGCAGGCGATTCAAGAGATAAAAGTGATAGATGAGTTGTGGCAGGAAGAGTGGGAAACAGTAGGCTGTCCTGCGAGAATGAGCTGGAAACTGATAACCCAGGGTGAGCTGGGTGTTATTACTGGGAGGAGGGACAGCTGAGCAAATGTCCCATGAATAAGCCTCGCACAAGGGACACTGCCAGCAAGGGAAGCAGTACCATGCTCTTGGCCTGTTCACTCCAGAAACCAACCAGAAAAGGGGAGTAAGGCTGAAGTTAGAGGGGATGCATGTTCCCTCCTTCAAGGCTTTGCAGTTCTTCCTGGTCTAAACCGTGTTGTCTGCTTGCTCCAAAAGTTTCCCCTTTGGAGGACCCAGGGGAACCGAGCAAACAAGTGGCCTGCTGCTGGGGTGCAGAGAGGGTGTGGATGGCTCCTGTCTGCACACAAACACTGCAGAATGGTGATGTAGAGAACCCCCACACAAGGAAAAAGATGTGGATGGGATACATATTTTAGGGCAGGTGGTGCCAGAAAAAAACAGTGAGAAATCAGGCAGGCTTGCAGAAAATGAGAGTCCCCTCTGTGGCAGTATAAATATTTTGGTTCAGCAATAGAGAAGGCTGAGGGGAGGTGATCAAAACTTCTGGGATATTTCATCTGCTGCGGTGCTGCTTGTTTCCAGTTGGCATGATTTCCACACCCTTCCCTCAACCAGCAAGCCATTCTGTGCATCTGACTGCTGGGCCCATCATCTCTTCTGTAAGAAAGCAGTCTTCCAAAGAGGAAGCACATGTGGGGCCAAGAAGACTAAAAGAACAAGTCAAGGCATCATAAGCAAGCCAGGTTTGCACATTTTCTTCTCTGTGCCTGAGCCAGCACAATTTCCATGCATTATAATTCCTCAGAAAAGCTTGTGACTTCCCAGAATGAACGAGATAAATGCCACGTCTGCCAAGTGTACACTGGGAAAGGTGGGTGCTGTGCACTGCACAGAGGAAAAGGGAGGCTGGGAACCCCGGTTTTGGGAGTGGGCTGTGGTAAGCAGAGCCTTGCCCATACCAGGTCCCAAACAGGCATGCAGGCACAGGCTCTGTCCAAGTGGGAGGGTTTGGTGTGGTACATAGTGAAAGGGGCTGTGTGCTTGCAGCCTGCTGCTCCATCTGCTCTCCTTGGGCTGGAGGTACCGAGACACCACAGCAGCAGCCTCGACTGACAGCAAATGACTCAAAGGAAAAATAAAGGAAAGCATTTTGCTGCTTCATTACTTACCTTCTCGTTTCTGAAGCATCAATTTAAGCTTATTTCCCCTCAGAACATCTAGACAAATAAAAATAAAGCACACACATTTACTGAGAAGGAAATAACAACATAAAGATTATTTCTCAAAAAATACCAGAATTATTTTTGTCATAGCTCCAGGTCAACAGGCAAAAGAGACAAGTTTCTCCCAGTGCTTCACTTTGCTCCTTTTTCCACATTTGAGTGCAACACACACTACAGGGAAACTTCTGACATTCCAGCATCCCCTCCCCAGATCTTCTTGGCAACATAACCATGATACTGGCCTTCTTCACCAGGTAAATTATATTTTTCATCAGAAAACCACAGCTGGTGCCAGCAGCAGCATCTGAGGCAGCACGAAACCCTGGTCACTGGGTGAGGGCCATGCTAACTGCTCCAAAGTTGTCTGGCAGCCTGGCTGTCTGCCTCGAAGTGCATCGAAGCAGTCACCCTGTTGATCCCCAAGGCATTAACCCACGGTCCGACAGCGCAACAGGAGACCTGCAAGCGCCCGGCTTCTCCGAAATGCTTTAGTTCACTGGCAAACCTTTTAAAAAAGATGCCCAACTTGCACAAGTTTTGGGTCGTCCGAAGGTGCTACCCCACGTGGAATGCCAGGAAAAGGCTTTTTCCCGCTCCCCAGGACGTCCCTCTGTCCCTTATCCCGCACGCCGCGCTCACTCACCAGGGGCCGCGCAGAGCAGCGGGATGAGGAGGAGGAGGAGGAGGAGGAGCAGGGGCGCCCCGGGCAGGGCCCCGCGGGGGCGCGGCGGCATCGCGGCTGGGGCGGCGAGGCGAGGAGACCCACCTGTGCAGGAGGACACGGAGAGGATGGAGATGGAGGCAGGGGCGGAGGAGCCGGAGCGGAGGAAAGGGGCCCGACGCCACGAGGAGGGGCGGGGAGGCGGCCGGGCCGGGGGGAGAGGCGGGTGCAGAGGGAGCGCTCCCGGCCACGGCAGTTCCCTGGCATCTGGTGGGGGATTTCATGGACTTCCGTGGGATTGTGCACCCTGAGCTTAGAGGTGCAGGGAAATTCGTTTGGGCAAGACCGGGCACCCACCCGTGTGCTCGGCCACTTGCCAGCAGCGCCTTTGGTGTTACACGTAATCAATCCAGTGGGAATGGTAAAGAGCCGTCAGCGGTTCACGCTGGCTTTTCTGACAGGGGAGTTAAAAAAAAAAAAAAAATAACTGTAGTCTGTAGTTTCACATTGCTCTCTATATAAACCCAGTTTGTCTGTTCCTTGTAAAAGCAGATGGAAACGGAGCTATTGTTCTGACGGAAAAACTAATCAGAACCAAAGAAAGGTGACTTAGTTCAGGGATTTTTCCCTCTCCATTCCTCCTGTTGCCCAAGCCCTCAGAAAAGTGCAATGCATTTTAACTGATTAGCTTTAAAAAAATAATTTTGGTTTCTTTTTCTGCATATAGAGAGTTTTAGCATATTGTAAAACTCAGGGACCAAAAGCAAAGTCACAAACTGAAAGCCCTTGCTTAGGAGGTTCATAACTGTACTGGTGCCTAAACTTACTCTCTCTTTCCCTAATTCAGACTTAACCTTTCCTCAGTTAATAAATATTTCAGTTCCTTCCCTTGCAGATGCCAGAAACACCCCAGATGAATTCCTAGTGAATTCCTTACCCATCCTTGGACACAAACCTCTCTCTTCCCTCACAGCAGAGACCCACAACACTCAGGAGACTGTTACGAGCATCTCACCTCCTGCTGAACCTGTGCCAGGGTAGAACAAGGTAGAGCTGGGCTCTCTCTGTAAAATACTTGTGAGAAATCTGGCAAGTGCTGAGGCCTTGGCTTTATGATACAAGGATTGGTTACAGATCAGTTGCAGTTGAATACACACACACACGCACGCACACACATTGCATACTGTACATATTGTAATTGTATATAAATATGTATATTGGATATGTATGTGTGTATACATACAGATACAGGAGTGCACACTGAGGGAGCTGTGCAGTGGTGTGGCAACTCCCTGTGATGAGATGTGTAACCTGTCAGTGCTATTCAGACACAGCTAATTGTGGGGGTGGGACCAGATCCCATGGCTGGCTTTATCACTCAGCATAAAATGCAGAAGAATCACCAGCATGGGCTGGTCCTCAACAGTGCCCCAGCCTCAGTCTGAATGCTGCTTCATGCAACTGCTCCTGTTTGCCCCGTGGATCTTTCCCCTTGTGAAAAAATTACTTGGACCTGCACTCAAAGCTTTTCCCTTGCTGCCCTTCATTCCCCAGCACCCTTGAGCTAATGCTGAAATCTCTCTGCTCATCTTTCATATAAGGACTTGTCAGAAGGGCATGTAGTGACAGGACAAGGGGAATGGCTTCAGACCGAGTAGATTTAGATTAGATATTAAGAAGAAATTCTTTACTGTGAGTGTGGTGAGACACTGGAACAGGTTTCTCAGCGAAGTTGTGGATGTCCCATCCCTGGAAGTGTTTAAGGACAGGTTGGATGGGGCTCTGAGCAACCTGGTCTAGGGGAAGGTCTCCCTGCCCATGGCAGGGAGGGGTTGAAACAAGATCCTCTTTAATGTTGCTTCCAATCCAAACCATTCTATGATTGTTGTGATTCTGTGATCCCAGCTGAAGCAGCAGCAGCAACAGCTTAAAAAGCCATGCAGTTGCTTAAGCCAAAGTGCCTCTTGCTCTCTGTAGGAGTCAAATCTTTCCCCAGAGGCAAAGCAGGAGGAAGCAGCACCTTCCAAATCCCTGTGATGGAAGCACTTCCATGGGAAGCTGGGATCCTGGCTCAAATCCGATACAACTGTGAATCAAAATGAGTTTGTCTTTTCTGTCATTGCTTCTAAGTGATTTTTCCCTATAGCCCCATGCTCCAAGTGTCAGCAGACAGCACCGTGTGTTGGAGCAAACGCCCCTTCTTCTGAATCAGTGCACTCTTTCATCAGCTTAACGCTGACAGCCTGCTTGCAAAAACCACCTGAGGTTTTTGGATAGGTATTTTCAGAATATAGCTGGAAGGGACAGAAGTGAAGCACATATGCAAGGCTACATGTAAAAGCTATGATGGAGATAATTCATAAAACAGGGCAATAATTCATGAATATTCATGGTTTACTGCTATACTGGTGATGGCAAAGGATGTTTCATTCAGCTGGGTGGTTTATAACAAACCTTGTGTGGGAGCTGGGGCTGTGCAGAACTTCAGGTGATTTTTGCCTCTGGGTTGATGGAATACAAAGCACAGAACCTCCTCTGGATACCAAATATATGACTTAAGAAACTGCTGGGATAAAATGCAATCTGGTGAAACCGAGAGAATGGATTGACTCAAGTACAAGGTTATCGTAGAAAATCATTGCTCTAGTGATGGAAGAAGTGATTGACAGAAGACTATAATGCTCAGGTTTAAACTGAGTGCAGTGTCTCCCCAGAAGAGGTCACTTTCTCAGTTCAGGGGACAGAAGTTTTTGACATAAAGTAAAGAAGTTGTGTAAAAATATAACACCACTTCTTTTCAAAGGAAGGGGTGAAAGGTGACTGTTGTTTTCCCAGTAGCAATCTTTATTTCTTTCAGGTTGTTTTTAGGACTAAGGCACTGTTTCCCTGGTATTGTAGTAAGACGTATTTTTTTCTGCTGAGCTTGCAACTACTGCATTGTTATTTGAGCTATTTACCCCCAAGTGGATATCCAAGTGTATTGACATGCCTGTGGTACCTACCCCTCTCTGCTATTTGCCATAAAAACAGAGTCGCTCTGTGTGCAACTTGGATAATGCAGTGTTTTCCTGGGATCTCTCAGCAGTAGCATTGCTTTCTTTAAAACATGGGTGAGTTTAAGGCTTGTCTCAGGGCTTGGTTTGCCTCCACTGGCATGCCAGTGCTTAGAGCTCTCTGCTAGGATGGTTGGGCAGCATTCCCAAGGGCACCAGGTGAGCAAGTCTGCAGTAATGATGTCATTCAGTTAAATGTCTTTCATCACCACTGGTGACAATAGTAGACTCTTGGTGCCGAAATTTTATTGAAAGATGTTAATTAATGCTGTCAGCAGGACTGTTCCCCAGACAGCTCTGGAATGAGCAGGGCCCCTTCACACATGGTGTAAACTCCATCAAACCTGATAGCATAATGGGGACCACGAATGGGAGGGATGTCTCTGGCAGGATACCAGGCTGCTGGAGCTGGCAGGTTCATCACATTCCCAGCATGGAGCTAGACTGAGGACTATGGTCTTGCAAGCCTGAGGTAAAAATCTGGGAGCAATCCAACAGAAACCACTCTGAGCCTGACCTTGAGAAACTACAGGCAGGAGCAAGGCAAGGAGATCACTGAAGACAGAGAAATTCTGATAGCTGAGTCTGCTACTGGCCAGCTTGGTCTTTGGAGCCTGCAGAACTTTGTGTATAATTTTCAGGATAAGCACAGAAGACTCCAGCCGGTTTGTTAAATAGCTCTGCAACTTGCTGTGTGTTTGGTGACTGCTTGGGCTATGCCATTTCATCTGTGTGATCTCTGAGTTTCTGTATAGTGGTATTAAGCCCAGCAGCTTCTGCAGGTACCTAAAGTGATGTGGGTATGTGTGGCTGTTCAACTAGGGAGTGGGGAGGGAAAATCTCTGCCTCAAAGCATCCTGAATTTTTAAGTGTTTAATTTTATAATTATTATTATTATTATTGCAAATTTTACCTAAAATTTAGTTAAAAAAGATTCCTCTGGTTTTGCATCTCATCACAGTAGCTGTTGAGAGAACCGTGTTTTATTCATTAAAATGTAAGAGATAGTATCAGTAATGGCTATTCAAGGATATTCAGTAATTCCAAGCACAAAAAAAATGCATTAGGAAGATTGATCTTGGCTTATTTCCTTCTTCCTTTATTAGGCTTCATGTTTTCAAGCATTTCAACACAATAACATTCTTAAATACATTGTAGATTAAATGCTTATATAATCACAGGACTTCAAAAGCTGGGTTTCCAAGAACCACCCCCATAAGTCTCATTATAGGAGACTTATGATAAAATAATCATCATAACTTAGTAGGCAAATAGGTAAATTGGAAGTTGTCCAGGGATTGCAGGAGATGACACTTCATCTTTTGTGGAGAAGCACATGTAGATTTTTACAATCCAATAAAATTATCCATTTGATCAAGAACATGGCAGCATCGAACAGCACTCCCAACACCCAGAAAATTATTACTTTCTGCTAATGGGATTTTTACAAAATCTCCCAGACATATTGGCCTGCTCTGTAGCCTTAGGATAGAGGCACTTGGCACTCCAGATTGTTTTCTGCAGCCTGTTCCAAGAAAATTGCAAGAGTTTTTTTCTTCCAAGCAGAAGGAAGAATATTTAAATCATCAGTAAGTTGACATTTCTGAGTTTCATCCTATTTCTTCCACTGCTCTAGACATGTCCTGACAGTGATAGAACCAGCCCCAAGTGCCAGGGCAAACACTTTTTCTTTAGGCAAAGTTTATTTGAGAGACTCCTTGACCTTGACACAAGGTTTGGGACACATTTCTGCCATTGCATCTCAACTGGTTGCATCATTAGTTTGGCTCATGTTAGCAATAAATATTAGACCTCATATTTTACATAAAAAACAGCTTAAAATAAAGATGTTGGTGTTCTTTTTCTCCCGTGTGCTTGGCTACTGCTGATATTTTTTGCAGCATCTGTCTGAGCCTGTCAAATAAGAAATAGTGTCTGTTGGTCTGTCCTTCCTCCTCTCTTCGTTTAATAACAGTATTTTGCTGTCCTTGCTGCAGAATTAACCCTATTACTCTGGTAACAAGCACAGTGAGAAGCGGATTAGTTTGGCAA